TCCCGATATTCTGCATAATCGCTATAGCTCCCAACATCCTTGGTAATTCCCCATCATCGGAGATTCATTGTAAGTCTGCATTATTTTATAATTCATTTACGTGATGGACTCGAGTTTCATTAGAAATGTGATGGACTGATTTTTCTTAGTTAGTAACTGCATGTCAATGTTGCAATGAGTTCGGGTAATTTCTAACGAATTGTTGACGTTTGGCAAATTTCTCTGGAGCTCCAATGAGAATAGTTGAAACAATAAATATGTATGTTTATATCTAAAGTGTGCGACATAATTTTAACCCACTTTTTGTTTTTGTAATATCTTGTCTTCCTCAGAAGTTAGAGGCTTCATTTTTTTATCACATGTCGTCAACAGTGAATACTATAATCTCTGAAAAAATCGTGGAATTACGACTAAGTTTGACAAAGTTAGACGGAAAACACTGATGTTCCGAAAAACCAAAAATCTTCATTTTCATTATTTCGCGTTTCCTAACCAAGAGATTTGCTTCGAAAAATTTTAAATACACACATTCCGATAGAGAATGTCACAGGCTATCTGCTGATGATAAAATGTTTTAACTTTTGAGCATATCTTCACCTCTGAAAACCATTTTTACTGGAAAACAGTGAAAAAAATGAAAAACCATCATTTCTTCCCTTCAAGCTCTTTTCGGCCCAGATTTATTACACACTAAAAGAAAGAGCGTGAAAAACTTCACAAGCTGATATATTTGAAAGTTGAAAATGGTTGATTTTCTAGCTCAGTTTTTTCAAAAGACACTTTCGGAAAACATGGCTCATTTTGATTTTTTCAAATTTTCGATCCTAAAACCAAACATTTTGACTTTTTAAACTATCTAGCCGGATAGAGCACAAAATTCTGAACAAGAATATATGCTGCTTAGCAAAGTCCATCGTCATGTTTTTGGGTTCTAAAGTCAAAAACTTTGCTTTCAATTTGAACGATAGTGCATTTTTCTAGTGTATTTCACTCTCACAAGTATTTTGCGTATAACTTTGTCAAAAAAAATGTGCTAGAAAGCTGGGAGGCGTCTCATTTTGAAGGAGGGTGTGGGTGTAGGTGTTGGGTGTGGGTATTGGGTGTAGGTGTCGGATGTGAGTGTGGGTGTGTGGACCTTCTCTTCACACACACCCACACCCACTCACATCCTGTGAAATTCTCTATCGAAATGTGCGTATTAAAAGTTTTTTGAAGCAAATCTCTTGGTTAGGAAACGCGAAATACTGAAAATGAAGATTTTTTGGTTTTTCGGAAAATCAGTGTTTCCCATCTAACTTTGTCAAACTTAGTCGTACTTCCATGATTTTTTCAGAGAATATAGTATTCACTGTTGGCTACATATGGTAAAAAAATGAGATCTCTACCTGGTGAAGAAGACAAGATATTACAAAAACAAAAAGTGGGCTAAAATCATGTCGCCCACTTTATATACCTAGTATATATAGCAGCACCCTTTGAAAGTTGATGAATCATTTGCAATAATTTTATGCTAAACATTAATTGATATCTTAATCGTTTCCTTTAATACAAATTGAGCTGATTGATATGTGTTTCTAATATTTGTGAAAATTTCATGACTTCTTCGAAAAATTCACCCATATTCTCGCTCAAAGCTATGTCAAAATATGATGTCTCACGAAATCACCATTTGTACTATGCAACAAAGAATGCGACTTTCTAAAATACTGTTACCAGAGAAATAATGCAAGACTCAATGAGAAGAACACTATTGAGATAGACATCGTGCTGTCACCCACTTCTGAAGAAGAGCACAATAAGCAACCAAGTGAATACTAGGTCTAAAACCAAGAGTATTCTTTTGTAAGATTCAAATAATACTACGTATACTTCGAACTATGTGCTACTTCATGGCGTTGAATTTTGCGTTAAAAAGCCCAAGAAAAATTGAAAATTAGGTAATTAAAAGTTAGTCTGAAAATACCGTCTTCTACACAACACATCTTTTTTAAACAGAAATTACCAAAATTAACTCATACGTCATTGGTACGCATTCGTACCTGATTAGTTCACAACATCCGTATATGTAACGCACGAGACGTTCTGTCTGGCACACCGACCAGTGACGTGTACCCTCCTCTTTTACCGTACTATTTATTTGTTTATAATCGTTTATTTCATTTAAATCAATGATTTCTCATGTCAACCTAATTGAGCACAAATAAACGACCGAAAGAAATCAACAAACAGTTATTTACACATACGAAAGTCAAGAAAAGTGACAAAATATTATGACGAACTTGGGGAGAGAAGTGCTTGTGAGATAGTGATATTCGTGTTGTTTTGTTTCTTCTCACAAAAAAATCGCCCTATGTACACACAGAACATATGCTTATACAGGAAAGATAGATAATAAACATCAATCAAGCGTAGCGGTCACACGAGTATATAGAACGGGCAAAAGGTCAATAAAAAGAAAGAGATAGACGAAGATGATACACTTCGTTACACATATTACATAGTCTTTCACAAGTAAATGCATTTTTTACAATTAAAATAACCACAAGAAAACAGAAAAAATTTCAACACATATAAACATCAATGCAAAGTTTCTTGTCGATTTGTGTCCTAATAAGTAATTACTGTTTCCAAACAACAAAACAAAAAACATTCTACATTTCGATAAAGACGCGATGCAGTTTCAAAAATATTGAGGAACATAATGAGCATTAAAATGATTAAATAAATATAGACCACCAAAATTAATAAATAAATGCCAATCATCAAAAAGAAATAAATATGAATCACAAACACGAAATATTAATATCCATTTCAAAATTAATAGGCGGTTGGGTATTTTTGGAATAGGTTTGGATAAGAATGAGATAAAGATCTGAAGTTTTTCACTGTCTAAAAAAGGGAATGAAATTGCATCGAAACTTGAATATGAGATTTTTCTGAAAAGTTTTCTCAGGGGCATTAATCAGGTTTTTAAAAAATTAAGACTTTTAAGTAGGCTATGAAGATCGATTTTTTGTCAAAAAATCACAAAAAAGTCAATTTTTTTTTGGAAAATCTGCCGAAAACAAAAATAACACTTTTGATAACTTGTGATTGGGTTGATCTTTTAGTATTGAACTTGTATATATTATAGATCTTTAGTCAAGAATTCTGATGCACTGGTGAGAAGTAAAATTTCAAAACTTTTACAATGCATGATGTTTAACGTTTAATAAACTGGACGAGTAGCTCTACGAGAACCTATTAGAAAAATTTGGTGTTCAAAATTCAATGCAGTTTTATTTCATCTTTTAAATGCTAAAAACTCCAGATCTCTATCTCGTTCCTAGCAAAAGTTATTCTAAAAATACTCACCTGCTATTTATTTTGAAATGGATATTAGTTGCAATCGAAGAAAAGTTAATAAATGGATAGCACGAAAAATGTCCGAAAACTTTCCACTGGAAATTTTGTTTTTGATATTGCTATCCATTTCAAAACATCATGGCGATCTATGGTTTTCATCATTCAACAGAGAAGACTCACAGTCATCAAACTACATGGAAATGCCATTAGTTGATAGCTGACTAGTCAGGTGAGTTCTTGCTGAAGCCTGTCGAAAACGGTATTCTGAAGCTATTTCTCTTCTAATTTAGATTTTTAATACAACAGCTCAATAGAGAAAGTTTCTTTTTTTCGATTTACACAAGTCCAACATTCCTAATCTGCTTCCTTTACGAGTTATAAGATTTTTTTCTGAAACATCTGAGTTCAGCCGTATGACCTGCAATCACCCAGAAAAGCAGCTATAATGAGTCAAATGATGATATTTATTGTTAGATTTGAAATGATCTGTTCATGTTATCGCAATACTTCTAAAATTTCATAATCATCTCTCAGGTAACGTAGGAGCCGACATTTCAGAAATATTGTTAGCTGCTTATTCTAATGTGAATGTGGGTATGGATCGTCTTTTGAGCTTTCTCTCTGAATTAGAAAACTGTTTTCGATTGTTTCAGAAATTTTTGTCAGGATTGTATTACGGCTTGATGTTGGACACAAAAATCTCCAAATTAAATAAATTCTGTATTCACTATACCATTCTCAAAGAAGCATCAATAATTATGCATCAGAATAAAATCTTGTAATCAGCGAGAACTTATTACAACCAAAACATCACGAACAAAGATACAACAAATAATATAAATGTGTTTAAAAGTTACATCTATTTGATAATGGCAGTGACGTAGCTAGGGGTGCCGCCATTGGGCAATTGTCTACAAGTTCAAGAGTAATTGTCTGTAGATTCTTTTGAAATGAAACCAATTACCCAATGCTAAAAAGTCTTGATACACATATATGTAGAAAGACTCAAGTGATGTCATTTGAATATATTGGTGTATTTCGTTATAACCTAATCAAGTGATTTAGAAAAATCAATTGGCTATGTTTTTTATTAAACCGATGATTACAATTTAATGATATTTTTTTGTGTCAAAAAATTCATTATTCCACTTAAATTTGCTGATCATTCTACTTGTGCTTAGTTATGTTTTTTAACATAATATATTCAAATATTTGAAAGTTCAAGAGCATATTAGTCAAACAATTTAACTACATGAAATTCATTTGAAAATCCATTCTAATAGAACAAATCTTTTCTGACTACTGAAAAATTTTATATTTAAATAAGAACTTTTCTGCTCTTAATATAATGCGAAAAAATATCCAAAGAACTTCTCTCTATTATTTGTTGATCAATCTATTAAACTTCTACGACTCATTCAATCAATCTCATTTTATTTTCAAGATTAATTTTCGTTTGAATAATATCCAATATTTATACTTATATATTTTTTTTTTCTTGTCATTCAGAATAATCAAAAAGAAAAAAAAAATATCCAAATCAAAATTAATACTTAAGAAAAAGCAGAAGAAACAAGCAAAAACATTAAATAAGATACAATATATATATATATATGATTTTTATAAATGATCTTTAAAATCTAACCAAATATAATTTATTCTATCCTTAAATGATTATTTTCATTAATATTCGTATAATTTGTTTGATTATTATTATCATTAAGGGATGGATGATATGTAATTATATCCTGTTTTTCTTCTCTAGAATCACAATAATTATTTGATAAATCATTTTTATCATTACTAATGGAATTTGTTGATGTTAATAAATCATGTTCTTTTGTATTTCTCCATTTCATACGACGATTTTGAAACCTAAAATATTCTATAAATTCTTCAAAAATATTTTAAATTAATTTTTATTTACCAGATTTTCACCTTGATAATTTCAAATAGAGAGACAAAAAAAAAAAAATTTTTTTTAATCATTGCTTTTCTGAATAAAATATTTTTACCTGTGAATCTTTTAAATTAAGACGTTGAGCCAGTTTTTTTCTTTCGGGTTTTGTTATATATTTATGTTTTAAAAAAGCAACTTCAAGACCTTTACGTTGTTGATCAGAAAATACAGCACGTTTTAACATTCTTGGACGTATTTTATTTCGAAAACCGAATGGCCAAAATATATTTGATGGCGCTGATGGCATATAAAATCCATTTGTCGACATTGTAGCATTTAATATTAATGATGAATCATTATTTCCAAAATAGTTACCTTTAAAATTAAATAAAACAATCAACAAATCTAGATTTCTTTTACTTTCGTAATAGGTCGTGAACACATGAATTCAATAGAAATAAATAAAAAATAATATGATTAATTATATAAACATATAATACAAATAAACCTCAAGTGAAAAATAAAATAAAAAAAAAGGATAGAATTGCCTCTTGGCAAAGACTACATAGTGTGTCTTTATCGTTTAGATTCATTTATATTTTATCATATACTTAAAATTCTCATGTGAAATATGATAGCATATTAACAAATAAAAATGTGTTATATATGTTTGCTTATGTAGTTGAGTAATTGAAATGTACATAGAACGTCGAAGAATACGATTCGATTAAAGTTATACTGAGAAAATGAAAATAGGAAATATGAAGTCATCCATCAATTATTTATGATTGAAACGAGTATGATTGACTTACAATATCTTAGCAAATAAGATACTTACCAACAAAAGGTTGAAAATTTGGACGCCACAATGGATTAATTGGAAACGAAGGATGATGAAATCGATTAGTGGTAGGTAATTTAAGAAGATTATTTGCTTGTTGATCATTCGTAGTTTCTTGAGACAATTCATGAAGAGAATGAGAAGTTGAATTTATTTTTGTACAATTTGAAAATGTTTGTTTGAATAATGGAGATTGAACAGGAAAATGTTCATTTGAAATGATAGATGAATTTGATGAAATAGGTGATTCAACATGATTTAAACCTATAAAATAAATAACAAACGATTCTTATGATTTTGATGATTTAAAAGAAATAGTTTAATGACTGTTTTTTTTTTTATTTTGAAGATGAATAATTTTAAAATAGTTTTACCTTTATGTGTTAATTCATCATCTAAATCATTGACTAATTCAAATGAAGACTCATTCTCTGAATATGTATTAACATTTCCAAGAATTGTATCAACTCCAAATTTAAGTTTTTTTCGTGTTGATAATAATTTTTCATTTGCAATTTTTAATTTAGTTTCATTATTATTTGATATATTTCTCGTCATATTTGTACACAATGGTATTAAATTCGAATTTTGATAATATTCATCATCAATAAGCATGTTTTATGTATATAAATAATTCTATGTAAGAGCAAGCAATCAAAATTCTCATATTCTCGATTAGTCGGACAAATGCATCGTCGAATAATTTTTTTCATTAATATCCAATCATTGTCGAGAGAGAGAAAGAAAAAAGAAATAAAATAATGACGAACATCTACCATTCATAATGCTTGAAGGTAGAAACTAACTCTACACTCTTTCTCCATTTGATCAAAAGAGTAGATACTCAATAAAGCGGCATTGACTAAAAACTAATTTGCGTAGAAAAAAAAAAGAAAATAATTTATCAGTAATGTAAGTAGTAACAACGAAAAAAAATTATTAAATCAAATAGAATATTAGAAAAAGAAAAAAAAACAACAGTCTGCATCATTATTTGTATATGTGTAATCTAATCGGTAAGAATAACAATATTCAATCAGAATAAAAACAAATTTTTACTTTCAATTAATCATCGATGACAATGAAAATCTTTTTGAATTTTTTTCTTCAATCATTCAATTATAGAGAGAAAAAAAGAAAAAAGTAACGATGTTCTTTTTCTTCATGATTTCATACTGACAATTGAAGCAGAGAAGAGTACTCTTTTAAGTTTTAAGTGATTGACATAGAAAAAGAAAACTTGCTAACAGGCAAATATACTCTTTGTTGGTTAAATAAAATTACTTTACAATAATAATGAATGATCAAATATATTTCTTTCATATATTATTTCAGTTTCAATTGAAATTTTATTTTTTCTATTGATAACAGATTTATGAACAAAAGAAAACATATTTTGTTTCTTTTTTTTTTAATATAGAATATTTCTTAATAATATAATTAAACAGAACAATTACTTCTGGTCGATTTATAAAGAATACTTTGATCATTAGTGTTGACTTTTTTCTATTTCCTTCTGATTATTGTTATATATTCTTGTTCATTCTTCTAATGTGTTGTTTTACACGAGTGATACTTGAACTATGGATGCTTGATTACATTGAATTCATTATTCTATATGCCTATAAGTCACATAGATACTAAGCTAGTTATTTTGTCACCCAATGTATATGAACAAATGACAACTAAAGAAATCAATATATGAAAAACAAATATTATTACTCTATGTATAAGACTGATGATCGTTTTCTTTTAATCAATTTAATATAATTCGAATGAATTGATGTACAATGTTGTATGAAATAAATGTTTTAAGTTGATTGTCATGTGTTGAAAAGAGGAAAGAATACTCAAGGATAGTCATCATAGACAACTTCTCAACTTGACACGGATGACGAACTTCTTTTTTTCTTTCTTGTGTTAATTTTTAATTTGTTCACGAGTCACTTGAAAATTTCACGTAGAATTAACTGTTGTCATGTATTCTGTAATGCAATGTTATACTGAAGATACTATGGGTAATCATATTGATTATATTATACAAAAAGAAAACAGTGTTTATGAAAGATTATAGAGAAAAAAAGAAAAATTTCAAAATGTACTTATCTTCTCAACAGAAAATAAGTATTGATTTCTTATTTCTTTTTTCTTTCAAAAAAAAACAGAGTTCTAATTCTTTATAAATTGAATAAGAGGGTGGGTGAGTCAAACCACTTTTCGTGTCAAGTTATTTTTGTCATTCTTTTTTCATTCTCTATTTGTTCTTTTTTTTATAAAGAACATTCGCAATGAGTTTGTCATGTCACAATATCTTATCCTTAATTTTTATACACAAGAACATAAAACGAAGAGTCTTTCATAGAGCTCCACAAGATAGTACAAAAAAGCAGATTTTACAAACAAAAATCGATCTAAGTAAAGGGATACTAATTCTGTATATGACTGCATTTCGCCATATTTTATAGCTATAGAATGTTTTTTTTTCCATATATATAAAATTCATCTCAATTATTACACAAAAATAAATAATTTAAAATTACTTTTTTTTGAATTAATGTCATAATAAAATTTAAAATAAAGAAAAATACATAAAAAATAGATTATTTCACTTACCATTAATTGACTTGATGTCATAAGGTCATTTAAAATAAAAATAAAAAACAGAATAAATAGCTTATAATTATTGTGCATTGCCTTCATATGATATACGAAAGTCGTATAGCTCCATATACGGAGGAGAGGAGTTTATCTTTAAATAACTTTAGATCAAATAGGCATGATGGTAAACGACCGTTTTTGATGATTTTTTGTTTATTGCATTCCAAAGATGTTGCAATGGAAATATTAAATAGTTTGTAAAATGTTTGAATAATGCAATTTTATTAAAAAAAAACATTTTTAGAAAACTTATATTCAGCTGCTGATGACATAGCAGAACAAAAGATGAGTTTTCTAACAAGTTGAATATGATTATTGGTTAAATTTTTTTCCTGAAGAAAATCATGATTTTTTTGTTGAATAATCAACTGTTGCTTTTTCAAGTGAATAACTCAAGTCTAAATCATGACTTAAACTCGTTCATTTTCGATATAGGAAAATTCTATTAAGTAAAACTATGAATCAGAGCTTATATTAAAGTTTTATGTTCAAATTGGAATGAAAATTTTCAGCAAAGTTTATAAATTAAAAAAAAAACTCTAAATGAATTCATATTTAATAATTGAATGTTACAGTTTTGAACTTCAGATCAACGAATGAACGTTCTGTTTATAAAGTTTATCATAGTGTTATTGAGATAAAACAGTCCGGATCTAGAATGATAAACAGAAGAGTTATACTCGAGATCTCAGAGTCAATTATTGCAGTGCATTACTACAACACTTGACAATTAAACTCGTCTCCTGATGATAATATTCTTTTTTAAAAAATATAATGCAATCTATGAAAACGAGTAACGTCATTAAATTTTTTACTTTGAAATTATCTATAAATACTATTTATTGTATTCGATGCCATTTAAAATGAAAAGAAGAATATTGCAACTATTGTATTTCTTGGATTACAGTTGTTGACGATGGCACTTATTCAACCTATGTCTTTTGAAAATTTTCAGAAAAAATTTCTCTTTCGAATCATACATTTTAAAAGGCGAAATGAAGTTAGGATAACTTTTAAACTGTTACACTAACTTTTAAGTTATATGTAAATTTGAACACTTAAAAGTATTGATTTCAGTAAGAATAATTGTTTTCATCAAGATTTAGACTAACGTACATTCTACTATTTCTATCTTCTAATCATCGAAAGCAAATACATATAACTTTAATGTAAATGTCTTTGATGATCGATAGAGATAGCATATTTATTGATGCTATATTTCTGAGATTCGTTTCATAATGCACTTACTTATCATCAAATAAATTTAATTAAAGTTGAAATGAACATTCATGATAATCAATTTAGATTTTCATTAGATGAAAAATAAACTCACGATCTTTTTCTTACTTATCAATTAGTCTTGTTGATATTTTAAAAATTTTTAATGACGAAAAAAAAAAGACTGAATACATTTGTGAGAAAGTTTACTCTTTAAGATTTTACCTACTGATTATTTTGTCGTAAAATAAAAAAAAAAAGTGCCAGTCAATTGTATAAGAGTATTTAGATCGATTCATTGTCAGCAAGTGAATTTCAACAGAGTTAAAGTAACAAAAAAAAATGTAATTGTTGAATAAAAGAGAAATAAACAAAACGAATTCAAAATTTATTTTATCCTTCAAAGCATTGATCTGCATAGGTACAATAGGTAACTGAATATTTGACCTTGGTTATGTCAAGTTGACCTATCGGCAAACGTTTACTTTTCAATTGAAAAAAAGTTAAAACCAAAGTCATTATTCTCGATAAGTTTATTTCAACATGTATGTTATCATTCTTATTAAATTTCGACTGTATTTATTAAAAGAAAGTTCAAAAACAAAACAAGCAAATTAGTTTCTTCTAAGAAAAAAAAAAAGGTATGTAAAGCATTAAAGTTGAACATATCCCATAGAATAATGATAAAATATGTCTAATATAATTAACTATTGAATCTTTGTATTTATTTCTAAATAAAACAAAATTTAATATTTAAAAAAAAATCTGTCATAGATTTACATATGGTTTTGTATCTATAAATAAATAGACATATTTTGTTTCTAAATCTTCTTCTGGATCAATTTTCATATTGATAAAAACAGTTTCTGGTTGTGTTTCTTCTTGAGATGGTATTGCATAATTATCTTGTTTAGGATAAGGAATTAAATTATTCGATGGATAGTTTATGACATTTGACATTGGATTAATACGATCACGAACTTGATTAACTCTTTTATGAAGATTATTAGAAGCAGCCATCACACCTAATATATAGTAGAAAATATTTATCGCGTCAAAACAATTTGGTTTTATTGTCTGACCTTTATTGTTGCCATTATTCAATGGCATTGATTTAATTGATTTAATTAAAATAAAAATAAGGAAGAACATATATAAGTATATCTATATATAGAGCTTGATATAATAGATGAATTTTCAAATAGTTAATTTACCTTAGCCATAAATCTTGAATGTATAAATGATTTTATATATTAACAATGAATATAGCTCTTCGTGTTATATACGTGATCCTATGCTGTATTATTTGTAATTTAGGTTTGAAAATGAGTACGACGCAATCGAAAAACGAATAATTCAGTGCTCTTTTTTTTTTTTGCTTTCTATGTCATTTTTTTCAACGTTGAAAGCCATATATATTCTATGCTGTCTCATTTCAACATTTATATTAATTTATTGAATTTTGCATATATGACCATGATAGATTGACTATTGATCATAAGTGAAGTTTCAACTTAATAAAATAGAACAATGAAAAACATTAGACTTCATCAAATTTCATTTACATACTGTCAAATCGAAAGGTAAAAAGTAATCGATTACATTAAGTGAAAATAAAAACTTATATACAAATTCGATTTCTTTTTTTTTTAATGTATAATATTTTAACATAATTTATATGTTTAATATACTGTATAAATAGACTTCATTATATAGACTAACGTCATTTCACTATTGAC